AGAAGAGGAACCAGAAGACCCGTTACAAATTCAATTTAACCATGATCTGCAAGGTGACGCCACAAAGTCCCATTCGATGAGCTAAGTCCTGACTTCTTCTTTCTAATTACCTTCATCACACTAAATTTATCAACTCTCCAGTGAATAAAAGTTCGTCATGGATAAAAATGAAAATGAGAAAGAAAAGAAAAGAAATTAATAAAAATATACCATTCAAGGATGAGACCAAACCGATTGGTAACTAGTGAAGCCGATATGAGTCTATTTACAGTGATAACCCTCAAGCTCAATCCATCATTTGCCCGCAAGTTTACAGAAAATGCCTGGGATTCATTTGCCGCAAGTTTACAGAAAATGTTGATCCCAGAATATAGAACTTGAACCAAGATCATTGTTAATGGAGCCTTTAAACTATTGGTGAAGTTTCCAATCCTCCCCGTCATTGTGCAAAATAAAAGAGACGTGACTCAAACACTCTGAAAGAACTGAACCTCTGAGTTTTCTTGAATGTCTTCTTGAGTTTTCGAATAGCAGTGGATAGTAGAAATGGTGTTTATGTTGAGGAAGTAAATTGAAGAAACTGATGGAAAATTAAAGGGAAACGGAAAAATGGTGGTTAATTTTATTTTTTGAACATTGGGGGATTTGGAGGTGAGGGATATTTTTTCAAGTTGGTGTGAGTGAAACTCTCAACCAACTAAATCCAAGTATTAAGGCTTGGAGATGAATAATTGAACCTTAAGAATCGGTTCAAAAATGGTGGTTAATTTGTAGTATAAGCCATGTGAAATTTCTCAAATTAGTATGATCATATATATCTATGGAGAAAATATATATAGGTAATGATGAGAATTAATTTTTCATTTTTGTCCAACAAAACTACTAAAAAAATTCGACAAGGAAAATGATTTTTGAACAATCTTTTTATATCACTTTTTGGTATAACTTAATGTGTTATTTAAATTATTAATTTTTTTTATTCATGTGGGATTCATGATATTAAATGCATTTACTCATTTAATGACATGTGAAAGTTGTATAAAAAAGTGATATAAAAAGATGATGAGTAATGATTCAGCAGATGAAAACGCGGGACGACAGTGATGCAAGATTAATGTATGTGGTGCAATTACTAATTTGACCCCTTTGTATTATTATCGTCCCGCGTTTTCGTCTCACGTTTTCGTCCCTGAATCATTACTCAAAGATGATATAAAAAAGTTGTCCCTATAACACCAACCAATGAAAAAACTTCCGGAGATTAAGATAATTTAAAAGAATATTTACAAATTAGGGAATTTCAAAAAATATTTCCAAAATGTATTGAAATCTTAGATTATCAAAATAATTTACCTTTTAATTCCAAATGTATATCCCATTTATAAATGAAAAATTAATTGCGAGAATGAATCCTTTTTAAAAGAAGGGTGTCAAAGATATATACTATATATTGATGAGAAGGGCCTGAGTTCTCCCATTAATAACTGCATTTTTCTAATTTGCAATATATTTAGGTTTAAGGGAATGGAGAAGAGGGAATTTTCATCTCTCCATTTTCCTCCATTCTGCTTCTCTCATTTTTTTTTTTCATTTAAATTAATTAATTAATTAAAAAAATAAAATAAATGAAATTCTTCATCCTCCTCTCCTCCAATTTTTTTAATAAGCAAATAGAGAAAATTTTTCTGTTCCTCTCCATTTCACTAAATTCAAATATTAAATTAATGTAGGATAAAAAAAGAAAAAAACTGAAAACTTAAAAATGTATATAAAGATATGTTTGAAATAGAGGAAGATGGAAGAAGATGAATTGATAAATTTTTTAACTAATTAAATTATATAATATTTACAAACATTATAATTCAATTAACTATAAAATTAATCTCTACATTTCCATCGAACTAGTCTAAGATATTTATAAAAAACATCAAAATTGAATTAATATATAGTGGAATTCTCCATCCAGTGAGACATTTGCAAACATATATATGGAAAAACTACAAAAAAAAAAAATGCAAAAGGGTCAAACAGGAATTAAACTATGAGAATCCTCAATTAATTTTCCCAGCAATATAAAGCTGCTTCTGATCTGATGCTAGCCCTTACAACACCCTCAATTTTTTTCCTTCTGCTCTTCTGTCTTCTTCTCAACAGACACAACAATCTCCTCTGGTTCGGCGGTTGCTACCACTTCCGACGCCACAATTATCTCTGGTTCTTCCTTCTTTAGCTCGCCGGCTGCTACCACTTCCGGTGCCACCACAATAATCTCTGGTTCTTCCTTCTTTAGCTCGGCGGCAACCACTTGGCTAGGGTTCTCAACCTCAACCACCGCTGGTTTCTCAATCTCCACCTCAACTGCGGTCGGTTTCTCAACCTCCACTGTTGCTGGTCTCTCAACCTCGACAACGGTTGGTTTCTCAACCTCGACTGCTGCTGGTTTCTCAACCTCAACTGCGGTTGGTTTCTCAACCTCGACTGCTGCTGGTTTTTCCTCCTTTTCTTCAGTTTTCTTTGGTTCCGGCTGCACGGCTGGTTTTTCCTCCTTTTCCCCAGTTTCTATTGCTTCCGATTGCCCGGTTACTTTCTCCTCCTTTTCTCCGGTTTCCTCTGGTTCTGGCTGCCCGGCTGGTTTTTCCTCCTTTTCTTCAGTTTCCTTTGATTCCGGCTGCCATGAACCAAAAAATATTTGTTTCTCAAATCAGTACATAGTATAACAATTTCATTGCCCTAGTTAGAAAATTTGCCGACCTTTATTTTATTTTTTTTTCAAATTGTACTAATTACTACCAATTATATATGTTCCCATCATTTTTTATAATCTCAAAATTAAAGAAAACAACTATTCATGGCACGACCATGAACCCCTAGATTGAACCTTAAAATTTCAAACCTTTCATAAAATATATAAAAGCCTCTCTAGCTATTTGTATAATCCATCATTAATAAAAATGGTATAAATTAAAATGCTGATTAATTGAGATCCAAATGTAAGCATACCATATCGAGAGAAGAACCAAGACACTGTTGTTCACCGCCAGCCTTGTTTTCTAATTCCTTGGTGGTCTGCTGCTCAGCTGCGACGGCCTCCTCCTTGACAGGTTCGGGAGCTGGGATGTCGGCATCCTGGTCCCTCATGCTCTTTGGAACACTAGCACAAGCACCCATCTTGAGAATTTGGTCTCTTAAACGTTCCAAAAGTGTCCTCTTTCTCTCTCTCTACTTGGTAGTAGGAACAATTGCAAAAAGAGAGAAAAAGAGGAAGGCCAAGAAAATCCCATGAGAGAGACGCTTGGGATGCATTGGAATTTATACAAGCACAAAACTACTTCAGTTTCTTTTTTTAGGCAATGTCTCTTCTAATGGTTGAGATAAATTTCAGGTAATTATTTCACCTTTTTTCATTTTTAATTTAGCCTTTGATTACATCAAATTTAGCAATTAACAGTTGGGAAATGAGTGGTTTAGGAACTTAGGAAAGTAAGGAGTCATTCATAACATGCTATAATAGAATAATGAGTATATATTGGATTATAAAAATAAAAAAGGCACATATATTACAAAGTGCATATATGATATGTATGAAGAGTAGAAGAAAGAAAAGATACATGAGCAAATATGTAAAAAAAGAAAAATGATACATGAGCAAATTAATTTCCAAACTATGTTATAGTAACAAATTGAACTTAAATAAATTAAATAGTTTAGTAATAATTTTCTTCAATAAAAATAAGAAATCTAATGTTTGAGTTATAAGTATATTAGTATAATGAATGAATGAAAAGAATTATCTTTTATTATGCTACTCAATTTTTATTTTTATTTTTTATATTCTCATAAAAAAATAAAAAAAAAATTTCAAAAAATCATCTTAGGCTCCTACTTATATATATATATATATAAAAAAAAAAACAAATCAACTGGTTTTGGATTTTTGGAGAGCCCAGAGAAAATGAAATGGCGGCCCAGCCTATAATTCTTTTATTACGAAAACAGCCCATATAAAACCCAAAAATTAAAATTTTTTTTATTAAACCAATTAAAAAAAAAGACACCTTTTCTTCCTCTTCTTCCCCTGCCCTTTTCCAAAACCCTAGTAAAAATCTCAGGAAAAGAAGATATCAGAATTGAATCCAATCCAGTTTTTCTCCGACGATGGAAGCCAATCAACAATCCAAAGAGAAAGAAGAAACCGTTTTGCCTCTCCAAATAGGCAACGGTAACCGGAAACCGGCGCCGAAACGTTTTGTTAAGAACCATATCCCGGATACCATCCTCAACGATCCCGCCCTCAACGCCGCCATCTCCCTCCTCCCCGCCAACTACAACTTCGAGGTCCACAAGTGCATCTGGCGCCTCCGCTCCTCCAACGCCAAGCGCGTCGCCCTCCAGTTGCCCGAAGGCCTCCTCATGTATTCCCTCGTTCTCTCTGATATCCTCACATCCTTCTCTGACGTCACTCACTGTTTTATCCTCGGCGATGTAACCTACGGTGCCTGCTGCGTCGACGACCTCTCCGCCACCGCGCTTGGAGCTGACCTCCTCATTCATTACGGTCATAGCTGCTTAGTTCCCATAGACTCCACTAAAATCCCCTGCCTTTACGTCTTCGTCGAGATCAAGATTGATGTCGACCATCTCGTCAGCACTGTTCATCACAATCTCGCCTCTTCCAGTGAATCTGTAGTTCTTGCCGGCACAATTCAGTTCGCATCCGCAATCAGAGCTGCGAAGTCGGAACTGGAAAAACGTGGATTTAGGGTTTTGATTCCTCAGTCTAAGCCATTATCTGCCGGGGAAGTGCTTGGCTGTACCGCGCCCAAGGTTACCCCGGTGGTAAATGCCAATGAATCCGTCCTGGTTTTTGTGGCGGATGGGAGGTTTCATTTGGAGGCATTTATGATTGCAAATCCAGGAATTAGAGCATTCAGATACGATCCTTATTTGGGGAAATTGTTTCTGGAGGAGTATGATCACAGGGGAATGAGGGAAAACAGGAGAACGGCCATAGAGATGGCGAAAAGAGCTACAAGTTGGGGAATTGTACTGGGGACATTGGGGAGGCAGGGGAATCCAAAGGTTTTAGAGAGATTGGAGGGGAAAATGATGGAGAAGGGTTTTGATTACACAGTCATTTTGATGTCAGAGATCAGTCCCACTCGAGTTAAATTGTTCGAGGATTCTGTGGATGCTTGGATTCAGATTGCCTGTCCAAGGCTTTCCATTGATTGGGGTGATGCATTTGATAAACCTTTGTTGACAACATTTGAGGCAGAGATTGCCCTCGGGTTTATCCCAGGATGGTGGGAGAAAGATTCGAGTTGTGGGAAGAAGGATTCATGTTGTGGGTGTAGGAATGGGAATGAGAAATGTGGGGAAGAAGAAGATTTGGGTGGGGACTACCCTATGGATTATTATGCTCAGGATGGTGGGGAATGGAATTCCTCTTATGCGAAGAAGCTGGCACGTCCTGTTCGGAGGAACCTTGCATCTGCTGCCAGTAATGGTGATGCCACATAACATATTGTGGCTAACAGGCACCATAATGGCATACACAGAACAGAATACCTCGTGTGGGGAATTTTGCCCATCCTGCTCTGAAAGTCTCCATTTTCTGCTTGTGGTTGTGTTCTCTTGACATTTTGTAAGTATAATTGAACTTGTATTCGAATTGTTAACTGATTGCACAACATAAGCCATCAGATAAGAGGCCCTCTAAATGTAGAGGGGAGCCACTCATTTCATGTTCTCCATGATTTTCAGTTTTATGTAGTTCAGACTGCAACATTGGATTCTATTGTTAACCGCTGGCAGTTTTGAATTAGATTATTCCCTTTTCTCCATTTTTTTTATTGTAACGGAAGTTGAACAAAAATTGTATATTTTGCAGCCGAATGAACAATGATTTTATTGCAATTATTAAACAGTAAAGTTCTGATAGCGAGGAACTTTATCGTGCACAAGGATGATGATCTAACATCAGATTTGCAAGCAAAAGTAATTTGGTAAATGAGCTTTATAAGTTCTATGATGATGTCTTTCCTTCAGCAGCAGAATAGAGTGCTTTAATTTCCTCAACATCATCAAAACTGCCAAGGAATACAGGGGACCGCTCGTGTATGTTCTTTGGAACCAGGTCGAGTGCCTGCAAATCATTAATAAACAGGAAACGTTATCTAATCTGTTTTCAGCAAAATGAATACATAAATCCAGAATTGAAACCTTGCAAATACCCTTTGCTTCCCGGTGAATGCTTGGCCTCCAGCTCGTTCAATCAAGTATGACATTGGAAATACTTCATACAGAATACTATTTCAGAAGCCAAATCATCATGTCAATTTAAAAGAAGCAACAAAAATTACAAAAAGTTCTATAAAAGAAATGGCAATGTGATCTTTACCGTAGCTTTCCATTGGGACTTTTCTTATCTGCAGGGTATAAAAAGATGCCACCATAAAGCAAGGTTCGGTGGACGTCTGCAACCATACTGCATCCACAGGATAATTAGGATTAGTAGATGATGCTGTTGTCAGTTTCATGGAGGTGTTTCGATTTCAAAAGAATGAGCAGAATCCATACAAATTGCAGGGGGATGAGGATGATTATTAAAGACAAGCATTTTCCCCACCCAATTCAATAAACAAAAATTCTCAAATTCAGAACATAGATGATGGAATGCAGTCATGAGATACCTTCCAATATATCTAAGAGACTTTGGGGATGAACCATCTGTAGGGAACTTGCACCTTTCCACATACCTGAATGAAGAACAAGTCAGTGATGTTTCTGCTGAAAAACAATAAGCTGACAGTCATTTTACCATACTTTGTAATTGCCTCATCCCAGTGTTGGGCGTTTCCTTCGTTTACTGAATAAATCTTTCCCTTTTTTGGTATCTGTTGGATCAAGAATGAAGATGACATTATAAGAAGCAGACTCCATGTCTAGAAATGAAATTCAATTTGATTAAAGAACAAACTGACTCAATACCTTAATATCAGGACGAGTTAATATGAACTCCCCAAGAGATGGATCAAGTGTGAAACCATTGACTCCGTTCCCTGTGCTGAGCACCAGCTGCAGTTTCAACATATGTCTTATTGTCATAAAAGAATATGCAGCATTTGAACCATTGCTAGAATTTATCAAGGGTTGATTCTGTGAAGAAAACAGAAAAGGAAGATGAGATTCTACCATACAAGAGCTGCCATACATGCAATATCCAGCTGCTAACATACTATTTCCAGATTGCAATACATCATCAAGAGTTGGGTTCTCCTTATCTTTCACCAAGTAAATACCAAAGATCTACATACAAAACCAGAGTCATGAGGTTCCCCATCAATATTGTCAATAAATAGTGTAAAGACTGCAATACTCTGATGGATGAGGAGCCATACAGTTCCTATGGAAACACCACAGTCAATGTTTGAGGATCCATCCAATGGATCAAACACAACAATGTATCTAAATAATCAACAGAAGTTTGGAAACATGTTAGTCAAGGTTAAATTATCCAGACTCAATAAAATGCGTTATAGAACAGAAAATCTGCAACAACCTTCCCCGCTTAGATGGCTTCACAAATATGGCTTCTTCATTCTCTTCTGAAACAAGAAGGCACTGCATAGAAGATCGAAAAAGGCAGGAAAGGAATTCAGGAGAGAAAAAAAAATGTAATTCAACCAAATTTTGGCGTTCAAAAGCCTCAATGAGCAAATTAGAATAACTCCAATGCCCTAAAGAGCTGTCTCAACCGATAAGAACTTAAGACTCCAAATTGTGGGTCTCCAGTTTAAACCTCGAGACATGTGGGGTGGGGAGGATTATACAACGTTATACCTTGTATAATCCACAGGCAGAAAGAAAGAAAGAGAAAAAAGACTTACGGTACGTCCACTGCTAACTAAAGCCTTGACAAAAACTTCGTTGGAAAGTACATCCAACTTCTTTTGTTCTTCACCCTAAAAAATGTAAGAAAGAAATGAACAATTCACCAATTGAAAAGACATTTATAAGGCTTTTTTTTTTCCCCCACCAAAAAATGGTGGTGAGAGAAATCAGACCTGAACATTGGTCTCTCCGGCGAGACCTATGAGTTTTGCAAGTCCTGCCTGCAAACATAACAATTGATTCTTAGAAACACAGGTGCAAGATTTGATTGATTGAATTCATATTGAATAAAGATGTATCAACACAGACCTTGTTGACAGCGGAGCAGACAAATTTGCAGCCAAGAACAATGTGATTGAGCAAGATCGTGAAATCACCACGGGATTCTGGGTGTTTGGATTGCTCGTTAAGGACAAATCGGGTGATGGTCATCAAATCGGTCCTGTGTGCCTCCATTGAATGATTCATGATGATGGAGATGATGACAACGGTGTGTTCTGGTTGTTCTGGTTGGATTTTTATATTACAAAAAGGAGAATAGAAACCATGGCGAAGGAAAGGAGAATAGAAACCTGTGCTTTATGCAGAATAAATTTCGAGGATTCAATGATGGAAACTTGAAGAAGAAGATGCTTGAAATGGAATGTGACATCAGAGTCAACAAGTGATAAGAATTATACCATCTGGCGCTGAGTCAAGGTTCAAGATGTCCACCCCATGGCTTTGGGTGTGGTTATGCACTTTGTTAATCCCACAAAAACTCTCTTCACTTTAATTAATATTTGTATTTTTTAAAAATAATTAGTTATAACATTTAAAAATATTAATTTATAAATTTAATTTATTAAATAATAAATATTATTTATTTTTATTAATTATTAATTATTTTTAATAATTAAATTATTATTTTTTAAATAATATTTTTAAATAATATTACGTGGTGTTAATGAATCAAATGTATGG